GCGTTTCTCTTGCCGTCGGTGTGGCCTTGTGCCCTTGCCTTCGCCCCCGCCCGGCCCCGGCCGTCGTGTGGCCTCCGGCCTCCCGCCTCGCCCTGCGGGGCCCCGTCGGGCGTTTTTCTTGCCGTCGGTGTGGCCTCCTGCCCTTGCCTTCGCCCCCGCCCGGCCCTGGCCGTCGTGTGGCCTCCGGCCTCCCCCTCGCCCTGCGGGGCCCTGTCGTGCGTTTTTCTTGCCGTTGCCTTCGCCCCGCCCGGCCCCGGTCGTCGTGTGGCCTCCGGCGCCCCGCTTCGCCCTGCGGGGCCCCGTCGTGCCTTTTTCTTGCTGTGGCTGTGGCGTCGTGCCCCTGCCTTCGCCCCCGCCGCCCCGGCCGTCGTGCGGCCTCCGGCCTCTCGCCTTGCCCTGCTGGGCCCCGTCGTGCGTTTTTCCCGTCGTCGGTGTCGTGTCGTGCCCCTGCTCCGTCCTGCGGCCTCCGGCTCCCCGCCTCGCCTTGTTTTCGCTTCTTTTTCTCTTTTTCCGCCTCCCTGTTGCGTCTCGTTCCTGTCCCCGCCGTCTGTCTTTGCCCTTCCTCCCTTGCTTTTTTTTTTCCTTCCCCTCTTTTTGTCTTTTTTCTTCTTTTTCTTCTTTTTTTGTTTTTCTTTTTGTTCCCTTCCCTCTTGGCCCTTTTTCTTTTTTTTTTCTTTTTTTGTTTTTCTTTTTGTTCCCTTCCCTTTGGCCCTTTTTCTTCTTTTTTCTTGTTTTTCTTGTTTTTCTTTTTGTTCCCTTCCCTCTTGGCCCTTTGTTTTCTCTTTGTTTCCCGCCCCCCTGTGTCGGTGTGTTCCCTCCCCCCTCCCTTGCCCTCTCTTGGTGGCTCTCTTTGTGCGCCGCCCCGGGTGTGGGTCTCCTCCCGGTTTGCGTTTTTTCGTTTCCCGCCTCTCCGGGCGCGTTGCGCTGCTTGCCCTGTCCCGGCCCTCGGCCGGCCGTCGGTCCTCGCCCCCCGTTCGCCCTCCTCGTTGGGCCTGTCCGGGCCCTTCCCTTCTTTCTTTGCCTCCCCTTTCCCGCGTCGGTCGGTTGCGCGGGCGTCGTGCCCGGCGGTCGTTCGTTTCCGTCCTTTTTGTGTGTGCTGCGTGCCTTCCGTTGCCTGCTCTTGGCCTCCCCGCTGGCCTCGGTGCCCGCTTGGGGTTGTCGCTGCCCGGCGTGGGTGCTCCGCCGGTGCCGTTCGTGCCGGCGCGTGGGTCGCGGTGGGCCTGTTTGGGCTGGTCGGCTCCCCGCTGGTGCGGTGCCGTCTTCCTTCCCCTTCCCCTTCCCTCGTTGGCGCCGCGCCGCCTCGTTCGCCTTGGCCGCCCCCGGGTTTCCTGTGTTGCCTCCCTCTTCGCCGGCCTTCGGCTGCCCCCTTCCCCGTTCTCCCCCGCCGTCCCGCCGGTCGGCTGCGGCGGCGTCGGGGCCCGCGCCCGGCGCGGCCGTGTTCCGCGTCGCCGCCCCGCTGCGTCTCGGCCCCCGCCTGTCGCCCGCGCTCTTGGCCGCGGCCCCCGGGCGGGCCGGCGCTCGTCGCTCTCTCTTTGCCTGCCCTTGGCGTCCCTCGCCCGCCTCGCCCGCCTGCCCTCGTCGCCTCGCGCCGTCCCGTCTCCTTCGCGCTCGTTGCCCTCGTGCGCCGTCGGCGTCGGTGCGGCCTGCTCCCTGGTTGCTCCTGCCCGTCGTCCTCTGCTTGTCTCCCCGCTTCCGCCCTGCCTGTGTCCGTCTGCCCTCCTTCCGCCTGTGCCCCTGCGCCTGGCTCCTTCCCTCCGTTCTCGTTTGTTTGCTGGTCCTGCTCCTCGGCTCCCCGTCGTCCTTCTCGCGCTCCTCCGTGCCCCCCCCCCGCCTTCTGGCCGGGCTGCCTTTCTTCGCTCCCGGTCGCCGCGGGCTCTGCCCGTTGCTGCGCTGCTTCCTGCTCCCTCGCCGGCTCGCCTGGCCTTCGTGCTGGCGCCGCCTCCTTCCCCTTTCTGCCCTCTCCCCTTTCGCTGGTCGGCTCGTGGCCTCCCCTGGTGGTGCCGGGTGCCGCGCCTTCGGGTTCGCTTCCGGCGCGGGCCCTGCGCCCCGGCTCCCCTCCCCGGCCGGCCGCCGGCGCGCCCTTCCCCCCTCCTGCCCCGGGCGGTCGTGCCCTCCCTCCCCTCCGGGCTCTTCGCGTCTGGTCCTTGGCCTGCGTCCCCTCTCCCTCCTTCCCGCGGCTCCCTTGGCGGGCCGTCTGGTGCCCGCCGCCGCGGTCCTTCCCGCTCCCCTCGCGTCTCTTTCCGTTGTTGCCGTTCCCCCGCTCGTCTTGGCCTTTGGCTGGGCCGGCCGGTCCGCCGTCCGGTGTGCCCCTGTCGTCTCGTCCCTTCTGCCGGCGCTGCGCTCCTGGCCTTCCCTGGCCGGGTCGTGCCTCCGGCGCTGTTCCTTTGCCGCCCTTCGCGTGTTCCCCGCCCGCCTCCGCTCTGCCTCCCTTCGCCTGGGCTCCCCTTCTCGGCTTTCGGTCCTCTTCCGTTGGCCTTCGGGCTCGGCGTCCTGCTTCCCCGGGCCCGTCGGGGGCCTTCGTCTTTCCTCGTCCGCGGTGCCCTTCTTGGCTTTCTGCCGCCGCCCCCTGCGCCCGCTTTGCCCCGGCTGTTTTCCTTCCTCCCGCCCGCCCGTTGGGGGCTCGCCGCCGCTCCGCTCCCGTCCTCGTCTCCCCCTCCCGCTGCCGCCCCGGGCTCGGCGGCTGTTCCTTTCCGGCCTCCGCCGGCCCCTTCTGCGCCCTCCCCGTTTTTGGTTCCGGGGGGCGTCTGGTCGCCCGGCTGCCCTTCCCGGCCTTGCCGGCCGGGCCCCCCCCGGCGTGGCGCCTGCGGCTTCCTTTGCCTCCCCGGGGCCCCTTCCCCGGTCCCGCCCTGTCCGGCTTGCCCGCCTGCGCGCTCTTTCTTGCTTCTCTGGTGGTGGTGCCTGGCCGTTCTTCGTTGGTGGCGCGCTTTGTCTGGTTCCTTCCGTTCCCCGCCGCGCCCTCCGCCTGCTCCCTCGCTCTGCGGCGGCCTCCCTCCGCCGCTCGCTTCTTCGCGGGCCTCCGGCCTTTTCGGCCGCGGCCGTTTGCGGCCTCCCCGGTCTGTGCTGCGCCTTCGCTGTTCTGGCCGCCCGCGCGCTCCCCTGCTGTCTTCCCGCGTCTCTCGCCTTGGCCGCCCGGCCCGGGTCCTCTTTGCCCTTTCCTCGTGCTGGGGCTCGCTCCTTGCCCTTGTTGGTCTTCCCCGCGGCCTTCCTCGTCCGCGCGCGTCCTCCGCTCGCGTTGCCTCCGTCCTGCCCTTTGTCCCCCCGCCCGTCGCTCCTCCGCTTGCCTGGTCCGGTGCCGTGTTCGGCTCGCGGCGCCGTGCGCGGTTCGCCGCCGCGCCGTCGCGCGCCGTCCCCTGCCCTTCTCCTTTCGCGGCCGGCGCCGTCGTCCCCCGGTTTCCGTCGGTGCCCCTGCGGCCGGCTCCTTGTCGCCTCCTGCCTCGCCGCTGCCGCGCCCTCGTGTCCTCGTCGGGCGTCGGGGCGGGGGCGGTGCGGCCGCCCCTCTCCTCCCTCCCCGTCGCTCCCGCGCGCGCTCGTCGTGCGGCCCCCCCCCCCGGCGCGGCCCGCGCCCCGGCCCTCCCCCGCTCGCTCGGCCCCCCCGCCCGTCCGCGGCGCGCGGGCGGGGCTGCCGCGGCGTCTGTCGTCCCCCCCCGCCTCTCGGCCCCGGCTCTCTCGGCTCTCGCCTCGCTGCCGCCCGTCGCGCCCTGCGCTCCTTGGTGTGCCTTGCCGCCTCCCGCGCCCCTCGCGTCTTTGCCCGCCCGTTGCGCCCGCCTTTCGGCCGCGGGCCCGTCTGCCTGGGCGTCCCGCCTCGCGTCGCCCCCCCCTCCCGCGGGGCGGCGGCGCCTGGCCTCCCGTGCCCCCGGCGCGGCCGGCCTCCCCGCGCGTCCTCGGCGGGGCCGTCCCGCCCCGTGGTGGTTGCGTCCCTCCCCTCGCGTCGCTTGTCGTGCCGTTCGCCCCCCCGCCGCCTTCGGGCTCCGCCGCCCTGCCGCGCGTTGCTCTCCTCTCGCCGGCGCCCCCCGGTCCGGCGGGCTTCCCCGCTGCGTTTCCGCCTCTCCTCCGCGGCGGCCCGCCCTCCCCGGCTTCCCCTCGTCCCGGCGCGCGCCCCGGGCCCCGCCCCGCTTCGCCTCGGGCGGCTCCGCCGTCCGCCTTGTCGCCTGGCGCCGCGTCCTCGCGGCGGCCCGGGCCCCGTCCCCTGGCCTGGGGCCCCGGCGCGGGTGCCCGTCCCGTCGTGCCCGGCCCTGTCGCCCCCCGGCGCTGTCGGCGCGTCGGGTTGTTTGGGCCTGCCGCCCCCTCGGGCGGTCCCTTCCGTCCCCGGCTCCTCCGGCGCGCGCCCGCTCGCCCCCCTCCCGCGCGGGCCCGCTGCCCCGGCCTTTGCCCCGCGCGTCCCCGCGTGCTTGCCCTTGTCGGCGGGCCGCGGCTGGGGGCCGGCGCTGCGCCCCGGTCGGCTGTGGCCCGGCCCCCGCCGGTCCGCCGCTCGGCTCGGGGCGTGGCCCCGCGCGGCTTGGGCGGCGGCCCCGCCCGGGCTGTCGCTCTGCCCGTGGCGCCGCCGTCGTCTCGCTCGTGGCGGGGCCGCGCGCGCCCTCGGCGTGCTTCGGCCTCTGCGCGCTCCCGGTGCTGGCCTGCGGGCCCCCCTTCGGCCCGTCTTGCCCCCGGCCCCCGGCGTCTGCCCTGTGTGCGCGTCCCGGCGCGTCCCCGTCCGGCGCCCGGCCGCTGCTTGGCGGGCTCCCCCCTGCGGGGTGCCCCGCCGCCCGCCCTTGCTCTTCTGCGCCGGGTTCGCGTGTGCGCCTCCCTGTCGGGCCCCCGCTGGTGCCCTCTGCCTGCGCGGGCGCCGCCCGCGGCCCTCTGGTGGCGGCCCGCCGCGCTCCTGCCGTGCCCCTCGTTCGTCTGCCTTGGGTCTCGGGGCGCCCGCCTCCTCGCCCCGTCTCGTCGCTGGTTCCCTCCGCCGTTTCCCTCCGGCTCGCTGGCGCTCGCGTGCGCGTTTCTCTCGGGTCCGCCCTGCTTCGCGGCCTCGGGGCGCCCGCCTCGCCTCTTCTCCCCCTTTCCCTCGGTCGGCCGGGCGGCTGCTTCGTTGCGCCGCGCCCCGGCCTCCCGCGCTCCCCGTGGCCCTTTTTGGTCCGCCGCCTGCGCTGCGGCTGCCCCGCCGGGTTCCGGTGCCCCTGCGCGCTCCCCTCGCCCCCCCGGGTGTTGGTCGCTTCCGCCCGCCGGCCGGTGGTCCTGGCCGTCGCCCTCCGCTCCGGCGTGTGTCCCCCTCCCCTGCCGCCTCCCCTCGCCCCGCCCCTGGCTGGCGCTCCCGCGCGCGCCCTCTCCCCGGCCGTCGGGGCCGTGCCCGGCCCCGCTGCGTCGCGGGCGCGGCGGTCGCTGCCCCCCTCCGGCGCGGCGCCCGGGTGCGCGGCCGTCGTGCCGCTCTTGTGGTCGTCGCCCCTCTTCCCCTGCGCCTTTGCCGGCCGCCGCGGGGCCCGGTTCCATGTGCCCGGCCCTTGCCCCTGGGTTCGTCGCTCCTCCGGGTCGGGGCCGCCCGCCCGCTCGCGCGTTCCGCGCGTGCTCCGCCCGGGCCTCGGGTTCCCTTCCTGCCCGGGCCTGGCGGCTGCCGGCCCCGTTCGGGCGTCCGGCGCCGTCGGCGGGGGCCTCGGGCCGCGTTCTCTTTTCTGTTTCCCGCCTGCCCCCCCTGGCCCCGGCTCCGCCGGCGGTCGGGTCCCGCGGCTGCCGCGCCCGCCCGTCGCGTGTGTCCGGTGCGCCCCCGGCGGCCCTTGCCCTCCGGCGGCCCGCGTGCCGTCCCCGCCCGGTCGTCCTCCTCCCCGCCTCCGGTCTCCCCGGTGCCCCGCCTCTGGTCGCTGGCCCCCTGTCGGCCCGGGCCGTCGCCCCTGGCTCCGTCCCCTCGGGCCCCGGCTTGGCTCTGCGGGCTGGGCCCGGGGGTCCGTCCGCCCCCGTCGGCTGTCGGTGGCCTGCTCGCGCTGCTCCGCGGCGCGCGCGGGTCGCCGCGTGCCGGCCGGGGCCGGCCTGGGCCCGGCTCCCTCGGGGGCCTTCCCCGGGCGTCGCCCCGTCCCTCCGCCCTGGTCCGGCCCCGGGGCCTCCGCCTGTTTCCTTCCCCCCCCGCTTGCGCTGGTCCCTGCGGCTGCTCCCGCCCTGTGCTTTCTGCCCGTGCTCTGCCTGTCCCCGTGCCGCCCTTCCCCCCGCGCGGGTCCCCGGCGGGCGTCCCTCTGCCTCTCTTCCGGTCGCCCCCTGCCTCGTCCTCTCCTTCGTGCCGCGCCTGCCTGGCTTCCCGCGCTTCCCCCTGTCCCTGTCTCCTCTCCCGCGCCCCCCCGCCCCGGGCCCGGGCTTGGCCG